GCTGGTCCGCTTCGCCGCCCAGGGCCCGGCGGGCGGCGCGCGGGGCGAGCCCCAGCTGGAGCTGCACAGCCTGGAGCTCAGGGACTACGGGTAGGCGCGCGACGAGGTGGTCCAGGCCCACGTCCCCCGGGACTAGCTGGGGGGGCGGGTGCAGACAGCTCCAGGATGCGACTGATACCCCACTACATGATAGAATTTCTAATAGTAGAAATTTTTATTATTAAACATTTTATTGAAAAATATCTTCAGATACTTTCAATGTTATCATTGATACATATACATTATTGTCATCATCTATTTTCACTTTACCCTTTTCCATGATTAATTCTTTGAAAAATATTAGCATTAGCTGTTCCTAAGGTTGAACAGCTTTCCTCGGGCACGGGTGAATTCTTTCTTCGTGGAACAAGTTAGCTATTTGGAGTGAACAGGGCTGTGTAGCAGAGTGGTTAGTAACAGGCCTTTGGAATCATACAGCCTGGGTTCCATCTAGCTCTGCCTTCTCCTGGCTACAGGGCCTCTGGGGTGGCACATAACACCTTTGGGTCTCGGTGTCCTCGTGTGTAATAGGGATAATGCAGAACCTTGTCAAGGTTCATCTGAGGATGGAATGCAGGTGTCATCTGAGATAGTATATGTGAAGTAGCTAGTTCAGTGCCTGGCAGATTAGGAGACCTTTAATAAACAGTAGCTGATTTATGATTTATGTTTTGGATATGTTTATTCATCATTTATCACAAATATCCAGTTTTTTTTTAAACATATTGAGAGATGGCTCATAAATCTCCCTCCCTGATGCCCCACTAGGCCCCGCCCGGGGCCCCTGACCTCGGCCCTCCCAGCTGACCTCTGACTCTGCCTCTCCTTGCCCCCACAGAGCTCAGGGGGACTGTGACCCTGAGGTGCCAGTGACCGAGGGCACCCGCTGCTGCCGCCAGGAGATGTACATCGACCTGCAGGGGATGAAGTGGGCTGAGAACTGGGTCCTGGAGCCCCCGGGCTTCCTGGCCTATGAATGTGTGGGCAGCTGCCCACAGCCCCCAGAGCCCCTGACCTCCAAGTGGCCATTTCTGGGGCCACGGCAGTGCATCGCCTCGGAGACGACCTCGCTGCCCATGATTGTCATCCTCCAGGAGGGAGGCAGGCCCAGGCCCCAGGTGGTCAGCCTGCCCAACATGAGGGTGCAGAAGTGCAGCTGCGCCTCGGACGGGGCACCTGTGCCGAGGAAGCTGGAGCCGTAGGTGCGGGTGTAGCCACTGAGGCCTCTGACTAGATACGTGCACCGAAGCAGGTCTTAGTGTGGGTCTTAGTCTTCTGCTTAGCAAGTCCTCCCTGCCCCAGCCGAGTGCCCCTTTTTGACCTTTCCCACGTGTTCTTCCATTTCTCGTCCTGTCCATCACCCACCCTAAGCACTTACATGAGTAACTAATGCAACTCAATTGCTGAGCTCTAGAAGGAAATTCCAGGCTCCTTGTTAAAGGATGTGGCTGAGCATGGACAGATCATCAGCTGGGAGCTTCTGTTCTCTGGCAAAGTCTCTACTGAGTATGAGACAACACACCCTATGATGAGAACTGGGGAAAGAGACTGACTTACTCTATTACCTGATGAATTAAAATAAAACCAAAAAAATCTCTCCTTTTCCCCTCGATAGGATGTCTAAAAAAGAACCCCATCCCCCAAAATGTTGACCCATTCTGGATTTTTGTAGACATACTTTGATCTCCGTTTCCCTGAGAGATGCTTGGAGGGAGGAAAAGGGCTTCTGGCTGGGGGCAGTGGGCAGGGAGGGAATCAGGACACCTGGTTTCTGGATTGGAGCCACCAGCTGTGACCTCAAGCAAATGCACATGCCTTTGAGCCACTGCTTCCTCTTAAAAAGGAGGAGTCAGGTTTCAGCTCTAAGACTTCATTGCCCTGGCAATCAGACAGCCCTAACCTCACCGCTCCTCGGGAGACCATTGCCTGTGCATATTTAGCTTCTTTCCCCCACTGTTTTAGAGAACTTATCACCAGAACCCTTATGTATTTACATTTTTTTAATTTAGCAAAAAAAATTTTTTTTGAATGTAGATAATCTGCTGAAATAATAAAAGTGATGTTTCATTCCATGTCTCTGTATTTAATTTTTACTATTTAATAATCTCTGTGTTTAATTTCTAGTACCCTTTACATGGGAGAGAAGGGAGCAATAATGGTGAATGAGAGCAACACAATGATCTGAAGAAATGGGGTGACTCAGGACCCCCAACCTGTAGGGGGCGCTGAAGACTGCAATAACTAAGTTTAGATTCCGCTTTCATTTATAATATTTATATCCCCCCACTCTCATTCCAAAAGTAGTATTGTAAACAATCACTCACATGTGCCACCTCTTTAGAAAGCATTTACCATTGCAATGGTGGGGATGGGGACAAGGTGGGGGTGACAACGGTGTGGTAAGCAAGCTGACGTTATTGAGCATTCACTATGACCCAGGGAGCTGTGCTAGGCAATTTCATATCATTATATCACTTCATTCTTGCAACCATTCCTCGAGGTAGGTATTACTCCCATTTTTCAGATGGAGAAATCAAGGCTGAGGCAGTGCAAATCTGTTGAATCTCTACCCCATGGGATGGGTTCTAAATCTCCTTCCCACTCCACGCCCCAGGAGTGAGCTCTGCTATGACACAGGCGTTAGTTACCGCATCCTTTGGAAGGTGCCACAGCTGGCAATTCCCCTACATTTACCTTTCCCAGGTGCTGGGTTTTCCTATGCTTGACTATTGATGTTCACGGACTCTTTGTTTTTACCTACAAAGCTAATTCATAGCAACTGAATGGGGGGGGGAAATGAGCTAGTCTGTGGCCAGCCAGGATTTGAGGACATGGCGAGAACATTGTTGGCAGAGAAGGAAAAGATTTGGCTCGGACACGTAAATGGCTAGATCACCTCTATAAGACATCAGAACGAAGCCTTTCCGTGTGGGATGTTGTGGGTACCAGGGATACAGTTGGATCTCTCTACAAGAAGGATATCAATACCATCTAAAGAATTCCACCAGCTACTCAGTGATGGATCTGTGGCTCTAAAAGGTCTGTGGACCCCCAGCCAGTCACATGCAATCAGTGGCAAGGATGGGCCTGCTCACATCATCCCATGTGAGCTAAAAATCCCAGGAGATTGGCATCATTTCAAAATGTAAGGATGTGCTCATTAGCACAGGGAGACAGGATAGTTGACAGAATGTTCTCCCCAAATACGTTCGTGTCCTCCCAATCCTTGGAACCTTTGACTATGTTCTGTTACGTGTCAAAGGGGACTTTGCAGATGTAATTGAGGTTAGAGGCTTTAAAATAGGGACTCTTGAATTAGCCAGGTGCACCCAATCTAATCACATGAAAGCAGAGAACGTTCTCTGGCTGGAGGCAGGAGAGATGAGGCAGTAGGGGAGGTCAAAGAGATTTGAAGGGTGAGGACTCGAGCTGCCATTGCTGGTTTGAAGATGAAGGGGTCCATGAGCCAAGCAATGTGAGTGGTTTCTAGAAGCTGAGAACGACTCCTGGCTAAGAGCCAGCAAGGAAAGGGGACCTCAGTCCTACAGCCACAAGGAACAAAATCCTCCCAACGACCTGAATGAGTCTGGAGGCCGATTCTCCCCCAGAGTCTCCAGATAAGAACCCAGATCAGCTGACACCTTGATTTGGCCTGTGGCACCCGGAGCAAAGAAACCAGCTGGGCCCACTCAGACTTCTGACCTACACAATGTGAGATAACAAATTTTTTTTGTTTTAAGTTGCTAAATTTGCGGTGGATTGTTATGGCAGCAATAGAAAATTAATATAGACAGTAAACCAAATCCCGTTAGAAGTGAGCTGTAATTACAATTTTTTTTCACTCAAAAGATGAAGTAACAACATTCAAGATAATTTTGAATGAATTGAAAACCACCCATAACCCCACCATCCTAAAACAAAATCATTTTGGTTTTTGCATATCTCCTGTTTACACGCAACCTGACCCGTTTACATTCAACGTGAGTACATACTTGTTTTAAAAATCAAGTTTAAGATGTGCCTTACTGCATACGAAAAGAAGGGTCAAGCTATATTCCAGAAGAGTCACATTGGTTCTCTTCAGGGGTGGGATTAAAGGCAATGCTCATGTTTCCATTTGATCTAATTTTTAGTTTTTCTACAATCAACATAGACTATTGGTGCAATAACACCACCAACAAAAAGAGCAAAAGTGCATGCAAAATGTGCCTCCCTGGAGAGGTCCCTAAGTCAGGAGGGATGAGGGCTCAAGTGGACTTGCCATTTGACCGGCTGGGAGCAGCTCAGGCTTCTCCCTCATTCCCTGGATCATCTCCCTTCTTAGAAGAGATGAGCCTGCTCTTTAGAGACGGCCCCTGAGAGTGAAGAACCTGGACGAGTGAAGGCAGAAAGGAAGCATTATCCACTTTGTCTGGAATGGCTGGAGGGGGAGAGGGGGCAGACGGTGCGGGGGCGAGAGGGAGGGTGGGCAGAAGCAGCTGAACCATCTGCTGGTGGAGGAGAGGATCGGAGGAGAGGGGTGAAGGCGGGCAGTCCTGGAAGCTTAGTGAACTCCCCTGTCTTCTTTCTGGACTTCTCTGTCTGTTCAGATGGCGTAAAAGGATAGAGTGGGCACCCAAGGAGACAGGGGCCAGACATGGAGAGGATACATCCACGGCAGGATGGCTGTCCCAGGCTGGGGCCCTCCTTGAGGTGTGTCCTAAGTGGCTGGGTGGGGAGGACAGGTCTTTCCTCCCCTCATCTCATCTCATCCATCCAACACTTGTGCCCAAAGGACTTCACAGGCATGAGACGTAATCACCACGGGAGCCACGCTGGGGCCCCTGCACCAACGAAACGGGCCTCTAGAGTCAGCATGGTCATTACAAGAAAATGAAATGGGATTGCCTGCAATTAAAATATATATTAAAAGCTTTGTACACTTACACTTTAAACCTCAGAGATGAAAAGACAATAGATCTCAAAGTACCACCAAAATTACCCAGTTTCCAGTCACTGGCTCACGTGTCCAAGCTTAGTGAGGAGGACCGAGCGCCATGGCTGCTCCCTCTCCTGCGTGGCCTGCCCTGGGTGGGGGTCAAGCCAGCATTGGGGGTCACCAACATGGCCTCCTTTCCTAGGCTCCTGTCGTCCTCCTCCTGTTTCTCCTCTACTCCTAGAAGCTGAGGCAGGAGACACTGAGGCAACCAGGTAAGGGATGGATGTGTGTAAGGGGTCTGACAGGAGTGAGACACCAGTGTCCCCCACACCCCGCCCCACCCCAACACACACACATTCGGCTTTGGCACAACCTCCTGCACTGCAGGCCAGAGCCAGGGAGCAAAGGGACCCTGCAGCCTCCCGAGTGTACTCTGGGGAGCCCGAGTGTCCCTCAGGGGAACAGGCAGCACTGGGAAGCTGTGCAGGAAGGTGGCTCCCATCTTCCCCACTGCCTGCCAGAGACTCCTGCAGCAAGAAAGAAGAGGCCACGTGGAGGCAAGTACAGGTGAGCGACAAAGGAGAGAGGCGGGATGCTGGCAGCACTGGGTCTGGTTCCAGTCTCCGCGGTGCCCGTGACGCAGCTGCTCCTTCTAGGTAGTGTGCTCCCGGTACCTTTCCCGAGGGCGGGGTCAGAAGGCCCCCTTCTCCTTCAGCCAGTCTGAACTGCTGGGTTTCCAGTGTCAGAGCGCATGCTGGTGACCACTAGGCTAGGCTGCAACATGGCCACGATGGGGAGCCTTTAAAGCCTCTACACACTGAACCCCAACATTTCACTTGTATGGATCCACGCTAAGGAAATAATCAAGTCAGGCAAAGATTTTATCACAGTAGAACAAATAGTAATTTTAAAAATTGATGTAAGTTTTGTGAGGATAGGGACTTCTGTTTTGTTCACAGCTGCATCCCCGGAACCTGGCTTAACAAATATATATTGAATTAATAAACTTAATGTTGATCTTTGGGAGAACAGCTGAAGTAGCATGGTGCATCCATATAATGGCATGCTAAGTAGTCACTAAAATCATGTTTTAAATAACTTTTCAGTGACATTGGAAAATGCTTATTATGTATCTAGTATAGAAATTTCAAAATCATATGTATATCATTTATTTCCAACGATGGAAAAGATATGTATGCACAGAATAATCTGAGGAAAAACACCAAAAATGTTTGCAAAAAACTCTCCTTAGGAAGTGGGATTACGGGTGATTTTGACCTTCTTGCTTTTACTCTTTTTGTATTTTCCAAATTTTCCTCATATGCATGTATTACTTTTCTAATCAGAGAAAGTTACAGAAATACTATTTTGCTTACTAGTAAATATTGGGTCCTCACTTTTCAGGGTGCAGAAACTGAGGACCTGGGACTTGCTCAGGAACGTGATCAACTAGAGGGAAACTGCAGAGGGCGGCCCCTGCTGGGGTTGGGGGTGCGGATTCCAGGGAAAGGGCTGTGGCAGCACTGGTGGAGAGGCGGAGGGGAACTGAGGGTCTCTGCGGCTCTTCCGAGTCCTCGAGGGACGCCACCTCCTTCCTCTGTGCTTTTCTCTGCCACCTGTTCCCCTAGTCCTTACATTGACTACTGAGGACAAGGAAACGTCGCATTTGCGGAGCCTTTTAAAGCAAGCGGGGGTGGGGGCGGGGGGAAGAGGAGTCACAGACTTGTCACACTTGAGCCAGGCCCTCAGGAGCCGATCGTTTCCTAAACAGGAACCGACCCTCTGTGCAGCCTAGCGAAGGAGACCAGCT